CCGGGCGTGTTTGGGGGCAGCGCCGGGCGGGCCGGCCTCTCTCCGGCTGGACTGGAGCGCTCCCCGGGGCTCCCCGCGGCTCCCCGCCCTCCTCCGCCAGCCCGGCTTTGGTCCCGGTCCCAGACGGTGGCCCCGCAGCCTCACGCGGCGGGCAGAAGGATGCCTCTGTGCCTTCCTGCGCCTTTTCCCTCCTTCCCATCCCCGGTCTGCCTGGACCGGGACTGTGGAGCGGGAGAAGTGTTTGCCGTGCTGTGGAAGAGCTGTGCTCCTCAGTGGCTTTGGTTGATGATAGAGGGTGTGAGTTTCTCCTGCGAAGAAAGGAAGCTCTGCTTGGAACCGTAATAATGCAACGTCAAAATTTAAGTATATTTGATAGACAAAGGCAGCCTCATGATATTAGGGCTTAGGAGATCTTTTAGCTCTGGAATGGGATGGGCTTAATGCTGCCGGTTTTCCATGAAGCTAATCCAGATCTATTTCAAATTTGTGATCTTTCCCAATTGATGATGCTGGGAAATAGTGAGAAATTAAATCAATTCATTAACCTAGGCTTGTGCCCACCATGTGCTTATGCTGTCTCTTTTAAGAAGCTGCTCACAAATAATGGGCTATATTAATTTCTTCTTATGAGGAATAATTGGCATTTATTTTACAGATTAAATGCGAGATGGTGCAAAGACTTGGAAGCTGAAGCATGGGATAAAGAACTTGCAGTCAGGTGGTGATTTATTGAGCTAAAGTATCTTAAAAGAGTTGAAATGGAATAAAAAATGGGATTTCTGTAAGTGGTTTTCACTAGTGCAGACAACAGTGTTTTCCTTGATTAACAAGGATTCTGAGCAATTGCTAAGAGAAGACTTATTCATCATAAATGTCCATGCCTCATTCCGTAGCAGAGATAGGTAAAAGAGCAGAGGGTGATTTTTTAACAATTCTTTTGTCCTTATTGTACTTCTTGCTCGATGCTAGTTTGGTTAATACTTACAAAAAAGCAAGTAATTTGCATGAATTTAAACCTGATACTGTCTCTTTTGAAGGAAGTTATTTCTGTGGGGTTGTTTCAGGAGCGTATTTCATACGGCATGTGGATGTGATCTGTTGGGATGGAAGCTCCACTCTGGCCTTGGGTTTGCTTGAGACATACAGCAGTACTGTGTTTGAATTAGGGGCTTTTATGAATTCTTGGAAATAACTGCTGAAGCAAATGACCAAGCTTTTACAGTAATCGAGCAAACTTCTGCTAGCTACATCCTCCTCCGCCTCGTGCCCAAGTTTAACGTGGGGTTTTTTGTTGCTGGGGTTTTGTTTTACTTTATAAATCTCATTGTCACTGTGCTTCCCTGAAAGACTCAAAGCTTGGATGCCTAGGGCTTCATAAATGCTGTAGGAATACATTTTTAAATCACTTGGACTAAGGGGGGGGGGGGAAAACGACTCCCTGAATGATTTAGAACTTTGTATATTACACATGTCTGTACTTTTACCTTGAAGCAGTTTTTTGTTTGTAGACAATCTAAATATAAAACGCTTTGATGTAGCTTTTAAAGAAGTACAAGGCAGTTCTGGGTGCTTTTCGTTTTTTAAGTTCTTTTTTTTAGCAAAATGCTTGCAGTTTTCCTGCAGTTTGCTCCTCAGTGGCAGGGTGGTAGCCCTTCCATAAGTTTCTCAACTCATTTGTTCCTGAAAAGCCTGAGAGCAGATCAGATTTCCAAGCTGCTATGTTGGGGTCCGGAAGACCAAGTCAGGAGAATGTCCTTTGAGCTTGCTCTTCCCGTTCTTTGCAAGGAAGTTTTGGGTCATATGCTGCATGGGCTGCACCGCTGGTATCCTGTGAGGAAGAGAAACCCTCTTCAAGATCTTAATTCAGAGAGATTGGGAAACACCGATCCTTGCAGTGGTGCCTGCCATCTGAGTAGTGTTCTCCCCCAATGTTGCCACTGTGTTTCAGCATCTGATCTCCGGGAAACAATTCCTATCCTTTTGTGGCCAGCAGTGGCATTTATTCTTAAACAGAGCTATGCATACTGTTTTTAGGTGATTTCAAGATCTGGTTTCGTATGAGGAAAGCAGGGCCTTGTCTTTCAGTTGGTGAGGATGATTGTTGACGGGCCTACACCTGAAAGTTCATCAGTCTGATCTTACAGGGGCGTAAAAATATTTTTAGCAGCAACAGCCACATGAATATCTGGCAGTTTTGAGGCCAGCTTAAGTCTCTGAAATCTGGATCCTTCTGCATTCTTGCTGTACTTGTCTACCAGGAGCCATAGCTTTCTTGCTGGTTGGTCTCTTTGCTTTATTATTAATAATATGAATGATGGATAAAGCAGATTGCTATTATCTGTTCATATATCCATTTTAGCCATATTGCTGGCATCAGCTCCTGCCCTGGATGCAAACCTCAGTCATTGGTATCCAATTGCACAACCTTGTATTGAGGTTGGCCCTAGCACTGGGTACACAGAAAGTGAAAGGGGCTTTTCGGATCTTGGTGAACTAGAAGCAGACCACCTTTCCAGAAGTGATGCACATTTTCTAAGAAGGGGAAATATTGGTTGTAAGCTGGCTGGTCTGTAGTCCCCCTCCTGGCACAGCTGTGCTGTGTGCATGCAGGCTCCGTAAGTAAGACCTGATGGGGTTTGTGCTGTGGCTCCTTGAAGGCTAAGGAACATTTTGGCTCAGCTGATTAAGCTCAAATTCTGTTAGCAAGAGGGCACACACTTCATCTGCTGACAGCTGACTGTGAAAAGCGTGTATATAACATGAAACCAGAAGATATTTAGGTGCAGGTATGTGAATCCCTGTAGGCAGAGCAGTGTAAGAGTGGACTAACCAGTGATTTGTTGGCAAACTAGCGTGCTTCTGGTGCAGTCCCAAGAGCATATCGTCAGCACCGGTCTCACTCTCAGAGGATTGCCAAGGCTTAGCTGAAACAATCAGAATGGAAAAAAAGAGTCCATCTTTCCAGCTATATTTCATGATCTGCTATTCCTAGGAATAGATGCTTCCCTTAGCAGTGTAATCCCTGTCCACTCTGAAACGACGCTCCATGTGAAGGTTCTGCCTCAGACATCCGTATTTCCAGGTTATCAGTGTTCTGCAGTAGCTTCCTACCTCTGAGAAAATACTTTGTTTTCTAATAAGTTTTGTTTCTTCCTTATAACACCACCAACAAAAAAACATTCATGTGAATATAATCCAGTTCAGTAGCTCTAATTGTACGGGTCTTAGCAGGCCTCTTCAGTAGAGCACAGCTAAGCGAGTATTGGAAAAGTCTGGGCAGGCTTTATATGTATATAATGCTAGAAATGCTCAAAAGTGGTAGTGTTGGACTTCAGTAGTCTTATTTTGTGTGACTGGGGATGAGTGGGAAGAAAACTGTTGTAGATGTGGTATTCCTCACCCCTCTCCTTTTTCCTGGATATCCCTATGGATCTTGCTTTCTTTCAAAACAAATTAAAGAAGAAACTTAGGCAGTTCCAAGGAAAAAAGTAATCCCTGAGAACTTAATGTAATTTTACACATTAGTTGATTTATTTTTCTCTGAGAGTAAGATCATCAAACCAGACATTAGGAGCTATTATTGCTATCCGGTAGATTCCGTAAGTGGTTTTGAAGAGCTGCTGGTGCTAAAGATCTGTGTTGGAGTTGTTCTGCTCTTGAGATGCTGTGGGGTTTTGAGATTTGTGAGACTTGGTCTTAGTAGACTGGCTCTTCCTCCGGTGATGGTGAGTACAGTAGGTTGGGAGTCATGGGGATAGTTAGGCCTGGCTAGAAGCTGCGGCAGGTTTTATGCTAGGATGCCGTGTCCCTGAATTCATGCGTGGCTTTTAGGTTGGCAGAAGAAAGGATGACAGGCTCCATCCAGGGTTGTGGAGGATGCAGAAACAGTAGTTATGGGGAGCTCGATCCACGCTTCGAAGAATCCAGGAGCTGGTGAGAGGCTGGAAATAGGTGTTCTTATGTGGACTTACCCCAGCTTATTATCACCAGCAGAGTTTCTTTTTCTTGATCAGAAAACGAACATGTTCTTGATCAGAGCTACGTGCAAAAGCCCCTGCCAGTGACCAGCCCTGTTGTTTGCTGCCTCACAGCTGAGCTTCTCCCTTGGAACGCTTTCCAGAACCACTGTGCAGGCCAGAAGTTGTGTTTCTGTAGTATGCCACTGTGTTCAAATGAAAACCTGGGGGAGGGTGGGTGTCATTTACCTTGGTTTTAGGCTTTTTTATGAAAAGCTGTGTGAGGAAGGAGGCGGCTTAGCCAGACTGATGTGTGTTTATTAGCGACTGAAAAGGAAAACATAATAAAGACCTGGGATGACGGGGCATTCCCCAAAATAGTGAATAATCATTCTTCTGGCAGTCTGTCAGAGATGACTTCCTAAGTTATTACTGCTCAGAGGAAAATTAAATATTTCGTTGCACAAATATTAGCTTCCTTTTTTTTTTTAAAGGTACAGACTAAAAGGTTTGAAGGAAAAGGTATAGAAAGACTTTGATTTTATTAAAAATATGTAGAGATCATGTGCTTGCATCTGTTTCTTGAGATCCATAATCCTGTGCCTCCTTTTCCTTTTAAACTGTCAGAGCATTTGAATATATAGGTCAGTTGTCATGGAAAATACTGGGAATGGAAATTCTGCTTTTTTTAAAGGACTTCCAATCTTAGCTTAATGCATGATTGCAACAAAAAATTGAATTAAGAAAAGTTACAGCTGATGTGTTATAGCTGTAAAGTCCATCACAGTGTGAATTCTTCATTGCTGTGAAGGATGCTTGGACACCTGAGTCACTATTTTTGTTTTTTGAAAGATCACGGAAAACACCCTCCTGTAGTGAGTGCTCAGCAAGATGGTGAAATGTTTGAAGGGTAAAATGTGAAATAGAGGCACAGTTTTATTGGAAAACTGTTACCCCTAGTCTGGAGAGCAAAGGGGAGGATTAGCTCATGGTTTTTTGCCACTGTCGTGTGCTCCTAGGCCTTCAGTTCGTCAGCAACTATGAGAATATGTGGAGATGTGTTACTGACCACAGCTTGGAAAAGTGGTGGAGAGAAGGTCAGGAGAAGATGTTGACTTTGTAGGGCAATGAAAATTGTCACAGTGCAGGAACACAGATGGCAAGGAAAATCCTCACTGGAAGGGAAGAGATTTTGAAGCAGTCATAAGTATGAGAGCTCTCGGGCCAGAACCAAGTATGTTGGCAAGGCTTGTAACGCAGTTCTGGCCGTGGGCAGGGGCATGGGCACGAAGCTTCTAAGGAGCGGCTGGGGGAGCTGGGGGTGTTCAGCCTGGAGAAGAGGAGGCTGAGGGGAGCCCTTATCGCTGCCTACAACTGCCTGACAGGAGGGGGGAGCCGGGGGGGTCGGGCTCTGCTCCCAGGGAAGGGGCGATGGGATGAGGGGAAATGGCCTCAAGTTGTGCCAGGGCAGGTTTAGGTTGGACATTGGGGAAAATTCCTTCCCCGCAAGGGTGTCAGGCACTGGAAGGGGCTGCCCAGGGCAGGGGTCGAGTCCCCACCCCTGGGGGTATTTAAAAGCTGGGCAGACGAGGTGCTTAGGGCCAGGGTTTAGTGGTGGGATGGCAGGGTTAGGGGAATGGTTGGGCTGGGTGAGCTTAAAGGGCTTTTCCAACCTAAATGATTCTATGATTCTGTGAAGCGTCTTGGAGGATAAGACCTGTGCGTTGGAGAGGCTGAGCCTGGAGGATAGCAGTCGTGGGGAGGAACATCAGTGGCAAATACTGTAACAAAATGGAGAGGGAGAAAGGAAAGGGGAACTAAACTGGTCAAGGGGTGGGTTTAGGTAAATATTAACATATAACCTAATATAACTTGATGAAGTGTTATTGAAAATTATTTATTGAACATTATGCTAATGGTTGCTGGGCGGCTCTAGAAGGATTTATAACACAGGAGGAATAGAAAGAAATTTAAAAGAAATATTGAGATTTGTGTGTAGTGCCTTCATTCAGCCTTCTGTATACTTTCAAGAAAAAATATGCAGAAAAGTTATTTAAACTCTGTAGTAGGCAAGTATTCCTATGGTAGTTGTCAGTCTTGGGAGTAATCTGGGAAATCCTGGGCTCCAGTCCTTTGGGAGACTTTAAAGAGAAAAGTCCTCAGTCTGCTCTACCTTGCAGTCATGGATAGGCCTGATGACACATTCTTAACTCTGTACTTAAATCCTCTTGCAAGTCTTTGATTGTTCTTCCAGCAAAGCCACACAGCTGTGGCTGCAACAGCACAGCTGGAGGCGGGGGGGTGCTCGGTACTGGTTAGGTACCAGTCACCTGCCTGGTGAACAGCATTCCCTAAACTGCTGGTGTAAAACTGGCATCATCCAGGTGGCTTTGGGCCGTGATGTAGTTTGGGAGGTCTGTGCCTGGGCTTGAGCTAGTGTGTGCCGCCCTCTTCCAGAGGCATGCCTGGAACACAGCTGGTGCTGGAGAGCTGCAGCGTGCTGTCCCCCGCGGTTCTTGCTTTGTGATTCAAAACTTGGATGTGTTATGGCAAACTTCAGAGAAATGACTCTGTGGTGTCTTGGTGTTTGTACTGGTTTGGTTCACTGTACCTGGGTGGTAGGGAAGTTATGACGATGGTAGTTTGTTTTCCCAGTAGTTGGTAGTTACACTGTCATCCTCTAATGCCAGTAAAGCGTGACGGTTCATAACCCCTGCAGCCATCAGTTAGCTGGGCCCTTTCTTTTAATTTACGCCATTTGCAGCTGGGCCTCTGCAGCCACCCCTCCTCACTAGATAGTATCTCACTTCTCAGGCTTTGTATGCGAGATTTCAGAGATATTTTTTTTTCCAGAGCTATTCAGTGAACGAAGAAAATTTCTGAGAAATCAGTGTTGGATTGAGCTTACCCTGCTTGGATAAGACCAAAAAAATTCTGGAGAGAGAAAGGGGCCCCAGAAGACCCAGTGCTAATTTTGATGACTATTCAGTAACGTCTGCCCAAAAAGAGCAAGAAGGACTTTGCTTATAAATGAAAACCATTGGCGAGCAGCAATTACAGAAGTCATGAGATGCAGTATTTAACCAAAACGGTTGTGAAGAAAGACAGCTCCATACAATCCAATTGGATTTTAATTCCTCCACAGAATCCAAAATCTTTGCGTTGGCAAATACCACCCTGCCACAATGGAAATACTCAGAGCCAGGGTAGCCTCATAAATACAGAACAGGGACCACAAGTTAGAGCTTGCAATGAAACCAAAGATATGTATTAAAACAAGAGAAAGAAAAGCTTTTTTTCTGAAAGCAGTTAAAAGAAGATGAGAACAAGGAAACATTTACTTCATTCTTTCAGAATTTCAGTTCTAAAAGGTTTCTGTAGGTCAGCACAAGCGACTGCCTCTCAGAGTCTGGGCCAGGGAGAGGAAGACCTACTAGTACAGAAATGGGAATGAAGGTGGATCCTGCCCCAAACCGAGAAGCGTACAGGTGGTTAACAAATGCGGTGCTAAGCCCAGGACAAGGGTTTAACATCAATTAAGGGCTTTTGGCCTTTCTGAGAGCACTTGGATGCTGAATTCTGCGCTGTGCTGCTGGAACCTGAGGTTGCAGCCCATGCACGTCATCATTGCCTGTGGTATCTTCCACATCAGCTGGAGTCATAGAGTTGGATCCTTTCCCTGGCGTTTTGCTGTGCATTCTTTGCACTTTACCCAGCAATTAATTCTGTTCTCCTGCTGCTCGCAGGGCTGTGTGCTCCTCCCACACCTGAGATGGGGTAGTGGTAGAGCTCCTCTTGCTCTCTCTGTGCTGGGTATTACAAGGAGAAAGGGAAATTTGTGACTTCAGAGGAGCTGACCTGTTACAGTCCACACCATGAGAAGTCAAAATGGCTTTCTAGTTTCATCCTGCCATTTGTTGTGAGAATGGCCTCCTCGGACGGAACTCTCTGTCACTCTCCAGCAGCGCTGGTTGATTGCTCTTCTTCAGAAGACAGAAAGCAGAGAAAAGTTAAAAACTGGGGAGGGTTTTATGTCCCAAGTTTGCCCATGCTGCTTCAATCACTCCTTGCAGCAGGAAAACCTGATGCTTCAAGACCCTTGAAATTCTTAGTTATGTTCAAATTTGGGTATTGTATCAGGAAAAGAACCCTAACTTGCAGGATGGGTGAGGACCCCATAGGACGACTAGTGTAGTTTTTAACAGTGAAGGGCACCTGTCTCCTCCTTCAGTGACCTGTCAATCAGAGTTCTATTAATGGAATTCTTCAGAAACTAATGTGTTCCCATTTAAAAATACTTGATCAATATAAAAATACGGAATGAGATTAAGTACTCTAAGTGACAACATCTGCTTTAAGCATTGTCCTGCTTAAGATACTTTGACCATCTGTAAAATTCTGCAGCTACCAGTCCTGGATAAATTGCTGCATGGAAGGAGGTACTGGATTTTGTAATGGTACTCTCTGCAATAAACTTATTTTTCTGTAGTATTCTGATAATGGTATTTTGGGGAAGTGATAAGGTGTTCTTCCTCGTTGTGAAGCATTGGACAATGGGAATTATATTCTTCCTTTGTTGCAGATCACAGAGGCCTTGCTAAAGGAAAGAGATAAACAAGCAAAATGGAACGGGATTCCCTTACTGTTGCAAAAGCTGTATGAACATAGCCACCCAAACAGTGATTTCTCCCAGTGCCAAAGCATCTTAAAGGTACTGTCAACAGTGTTCTTCTGAAAGCTAGGGGTTATTTTGTTGTTGCTTTCTTTAAAGTCCAGTGTGATGATATTCTAACTAATTTTTGAAACTGTTTGCATGGTAGTATCTGTGAATTGGCTGATAGATGAGAGCTGGGAGTGCATGTATTTGATTAGTCAGTACATCAGTCAGTTGTGTTTATACCGATGAGCGGGTTTCTTTTTGAACTGTTTTTTTTTTTTTTTTTTAAACTACATGCAGGAAATTTCTCCACTTCTTTCAATGGAAGCCATGGCATTTGTTACAGAAGACAGAAAAGCTGCTCAAGAGTCCACTTTCCCAAACACATACACATTTGACTTATTTGGAGGAGTTGATGTAAGTGTGTTTTTTCAAAGATATGAAAAGATTTCTGCATGATAGTCATACCACTCTGACATCTGCGAGGTCTTTGAGACCTTTGAAGCTTCTAAATGCAAGCTAAAGAATGGCTTTACCAATGTGATGTTAAGCACTAGAATTGTGCCTGTTTCTGTTAATCAAAATACGAAAAGGGTTTATTTTCTGAGGTATTCTCTCATCAAAAGTGAGGTGCTGCTTCGTATATGAGGTGCTGCTTCGTATATGGTATGGAAGACCTGTTTGTTTCTTCAGGTAGTCTGTTTTTAACTTAGAAAAGGTGAAACCTCTAGGTTCTCAGTGAAAAAAGTTTCAAATTATTTCTAATTGTGAGATCAAATACTACAGTTTGTACTGGAGCACTGAGAATTTCACTTAGCCGTGAAGGGTATGTGGCAGTTTTTTAGTGTGCTAGGGCACTCTTAGCCAGGTTGTCTATATTTATTGTTGGCACGCAATGTGGACTGCTTCATCTGTGGAAAAGTTTTTAAACAGAGCTGCAAGGTTTCTGTAGACATTCTGGCAATTTATCTTCTTGTTTATTTGTTTTAATTCTAAATTACACAAATACCCAAGTTTGCTCAATTTTATGATGACAGACTCTAGGATCTTAGCTTTCATTAGAAATGTATGATTTGTATTTTCCAGTGAACTAATTGACACTTTATTCCCCTTTTTTTTCCAGTCTAACTAAACAGTGTCTTTGCTGATCTCTCTTGTTACACTTAGCGTGCCTGTACTTAAGTAAAAGTTTTATTTAGGTTATGCTGTTTTGCAGTCAGCACTGGTTTAGTTGCTGGTATCCTGTCAGCTGCAGATAAAAGTCTCTCTGGCTACCCAAGCCATTTAGAACATTGTATGAAAATGTTCTAAATGTCCCTTGTTTTTAAAGGGAAATAGTGATACTTCCTGTAGAAGTGCTTTTAACATAAGAATGCACAGAATTAGTGTGTGTTAGATTGTTTTTTGGGTTTTTTTTCCTGGTTGTGTTTTTTTTTCTTGGGCTGGAGGTGGTAAATATCAGATATGCTGTAATCACCTGGTACTATGGCCAGAGATTTGGCTGATACAAGTGGGTTTAATCTGATTAAAGGCAGTGGTAGAAGCCAGTGCTATGTGGTTTTGAAAATCCTGCTCTAGGACTGGAGAGGGAAGTAGTCTGATCTGCTGGTTCTGCGTATGCCATGTGCTGATTCTGTGTTGCAGTGTTTCAGACCATGAAGCATGAGTAACTTTGAAGGACACTAAATTTGCGGTGTATTCTGTATGCTATAATGTGTGATAGTATATTCCTTAAAATATTTTTGGATTCTGACAGCCTTTACATCAAGGAAGGACAGAAGCACGTTTGTGTCTCCTCCCTTTATATGAATACGTGTAAAGTATTGCCCGAGAGTCACAGACACATGAACTGATACATGAGCCTTGTGGACTTTGGACCTTGAATGCAGTCCCTTTCCAAGAAATAAGATCTCATTACTCCCTTTCTGCTCCTTCTGTCTCGGGTGAGGCACCCTCTTACCTATTCTCTTTCTGCCATTGGACTCTGGTTCTTCTTGCTGCATACTGCTGCAGTTTCAGTAGGATGGCTGAAGAAAGCCCTCTCCAAGGAGTGTCTCACTCCACTGCAGTCCAGTCCCTGGAGTGTATGTGAGGAGCATACCAGTTCTGCAAGAATAAGATGATAAATTCATGGTGGGTTATATTATTGGCCAGGAAAAATAAATGCTAGCTGAAAGGGTTTACTCTGTGGCAAGGCAGGAGCAATCATCGCTGCAGCCACCCTTAAAAGACAGACTTGTTGCAGTAGGTGTTCTTTCCCAGGAGAAGACCAGTGTATTGGGATAGCATCTCTGGTACTGAGCCTTGAGGTGTGTGTTCTCCGCCTAAAACGTAAGCCATTAATAGGAGCACTACATTAATGCTGCAGTCATTTTTCTCTGCCCTACTGATGTGACAGCTCCTATTACAAATATTCCTGGAAAATGTATATTGCTCTTTAAAGTTGCCTATTTATTTATTTGTTGGCACTTAAAATGCGGGCCGTGCCTCCGATATCAGATGTTTTCCTCTGTGTCTGGGTAGGTAGTTCGTCAAAAGAAGGGTAAAGTTAAGTTGGGGCAAATAGAGCAAGTTGTAAAAAGTGAATATATTATCAGTTGGCCTGACTTGACTAGGTGATGCCTACATTGCAATTTTAACAATTTTAATCTGAATTTTAAAACTAGGGGCTTTTTGCAATACTTCTTGCAGAAGTCATCAGTTCCTTCTAGGGGCTAACTCATTTTATAAGTAAGCTGCTGGGTTTTTTAGTGTTTTAAAAAAACCCAGTGGTATAGGGTAGAACAACCAAAGATCAGTTCTACAGATCAGAACCATAGTCCTAGTCTTGGAAAGCTGACTTAGATTCCTTAAATAGAAATGAGACAACACTTCACATAGCTGTAAATGTGTATGTAAGTATACATATAAGGTGCACCTACACAAGCAGTGGCTTCTTATTTATTGGTGAGATTAAAATCTGGAGCAACTGTTATGGCTGGACCTGAAACGTATTTTGAAGCCCAGCAAGATTTAGGGAGACCCCTTGCAAAATTTGCATCTGTTTGCAGATTATTGCTGATGATTCATTATTTTGGGAGATGTCCTATAGCCATCCTTGATGTTATCTGGATGCATGTGAAATTAGTTCCTTTGCAGTCTCAAATTCTTTAAAACTTGCCAGCGGGAGATTGTTTTATACAACTGTTATTATTTCTTCAGGGTAAATACAACTATATTTTGTCAATGTAATTTTGACACCAGTGGCTTTTGATTGTAGAGCTGTTCTTCACCTCTGTGACTTCAGTGGAGACGGGACTAAGTTTGGATTTGTCACCGGCAAATTAATTGGTCATTTGTATCCCAATGATTATTCCCTTAATTTTTTCTTCTTGTTACAGCTTTTAGTAGAAATTCTCATGAGACCAACACTTATTACGCAGAAAAAGAAACAGAAAAGTAAGTAAATAGGTGTTTTATCTTTTTTTCATTCTTTCCTTGTGTCCTTATCCAGACAGAAATTATTCTGGTTTTCTGTTGTTCTCTTTCCATACCACCAGTTCCCTGTTCCTAAATGAATCACTAGTTTCTTTGTTCTCTGTAGTACTGACTCACGACAGGATTTGGGATAGTCACCTGCTGTAAAGCACAGCTCAGGAGTATTCATGCACTCAGCATAACATACTTCTCTCAGTGCAGTAAATCTGCAATCACTGGAAACTTCTATTGTTACTGTGACTATAGCTACAGTTAACAATTATTAATAATAAGCCACAAAACCTTGTTTATGTAATAGGAGTTACAGAGATTGTGAGATAATGAAAAGTATGCCAGTTTCCTGACCTAGTCATAGTGACTACTAATTTCCAAATTGCTGTAAGGGTAATTTGCCAGCGGGGCACAGGAGCTTCAGCGTAACTTTCCTGCTGGAGCAGCTTTAGTGTTTTCATTTCTCCTGTCTGTGATTCTGCTGGTTCTCTTGAACCCTTCTGAGGAAAGGAAATGTCACTGTACGTGCCATGCCTCTCAGCCAGGGAACTTCAAAGGTGAAGTAACTTGAACTTGAGCTAGAGGCAGCTGTTTTATGTTTGTGCTGAAAACATATTTTGAATATTAAAATGCTGAAGTAAATAACATTGAAAGCTTTTCTATGAATTCCTGATGCTGCATGGAGAAAACTGCATGAGCTGTCCTATTTTTTTTTCCCCATGCTTAATGATTAGAACTAATACGTGTCTCAGCAGTTTCTCATTTTGACAAATTTTGAGTTGATCTATGATATGTTTTCTAAAATACTGTTTACACCCTTATAGTTTTCTTCTGTGTGTGACTTACAAGTGCATAGACCACAAGTACAATGTCTGTCTGTGGTCCTAGGCAGTGCTGATAGTAGTTTTGGAAGAAAGCATGTGAACAGGCCAGGTATCGAGTCTGTCTTCCTCTGGTTTCTATCCTCTAAGGCACCTGAGCTAGCGGTTAGCCTGAAATTCTCACCCATTTTATAGCTCTTCATGTCGCTACTGTGGAATTTAGTGTTCCTTGGCAACGTATAGCTAGTGAATGTCTGTTCTCTCCTTTGCAGTAAGCGATGACCTCATCAAGGACTGTTTAAGCATATTGTACAACACGTGTATATGTGTAAGTACAACTGCTATGCAAAAGTGTTCTGCTGGTCATTTTACATGTGCCACTTGATAAGACAACTTGGACTCTCTTAAGCAAAATTATAACTTACTTTGAAACTCTTCATTGAAATGCCTTCAGTTAAATATATTTTTATGTGTTACTCAAATAATTTCTGCTTTCTTAGCCACATTGCCAAGGTTAAATCCTCTTGTTTGGATCTTTTTGTATCTGTGTTTCCATAGGAAAGCTGAGTCAGCCTTTGTTGTATTCAGACTTAAAATTTGAACTGGAAATGGATGCCTGCTAACTCAAGATACAGCTGTTCTTGTTCAGTTCAGCTGGCAAAACAGTTTAAGTTGGATCCTGCAACTCCTTCACGTGCTGAATATTAGTTCAGTTCAGCTGGTGGCAGATCAGTGCTAAGGAAGATGCTGGGTTAAAGGCCCAATGAAATACCTTGCCATTAAAACTCTGAAGCTGAAAGTATATGCCTCAGATTATGTATGCAGGGAACATCCTCAGGATTGTGTACTTAATCCCACGCTTTATTATGTCATCAGCTAGGGACTGTTGTTTAACAGAAATTTAAAAAAAGGCAGTTACTGGCTTGGAGCTCTTCCAAAGACGTCAACCTAATCTTCAGCGTTTGATTCTTAATAGATCATGTTCTCACTGCTAAGTATCTGCGTACACATGGGAGGGGGGAAGCGAGGGAGTGCTTTCTTTTTTTTTCTCGTTGGGTTTTTTTAACTACAGGTAATGCAACTCTTGCAAACTGAATAGCATAATATGCTAAGAAACAAGTTTACAATTTCTAGACTAGCTGCTGTTCTAATTCACTTTGGTATTACTGTGCTCTCTTGAATGAGAAGTATTCAGGATCACGGAAATGTCATGTGTGCAGTGTTTGCTGTCCTTACGCTTATGTGTAACTGTTCAGGAAGTACCTGACCCAGCTCTGTGAGCACTGGTAGTATGGCAGTCATATATAACAGACAGCTTTGCAAGGGGTAGGGATGAGTTTTAAGTTACGTTTAACTCCAGAAGACTGGCCATGCTCTTGGCAGAGATCAGAGCATGAAAGCTGGTGTTAATGAGCTAGGTGATGAACCTGAGTTTATGCTTTAGCATGGCTTTGGGCAGTTTAGGAGGAATCTGGGGACTACATTTACATACCATAAAATGGAGCTGGTTCCAATTTATATGGGAAAGCAGAGACAAGCCTCTCTGATGTATTTTCAGGCATGCAGTGTTTACTTTTATTCAGGCAAGTAAACAACTGCCTTGAGATGAAGCCTCACAGCCTGTAGTTTCTGCAAGCATCATGGTAACTTCAAACAAGTACTGGAGCTGGTTTCGGTCACCATAAACATAATGTTTCCTGGTTTCAGGAATAGCTGATTTGATAACACATCATCTGTAAAACTGTCCTGCATGTGCCTGTAACATCTGACTCCTCAAGATGGGCTCTGACTCTGGGTCTGTGTGTGCTTCTTGCTGCTTTCTAGACGGAAGGAGTCACAAGGCGATTGGCAGAAAGAAATGACTTTGTGTTGTTCCTGTTTACACTGATGACAAACAAAAAGACATTCCTACAAACTGCAACGCTCATTGAAGATATCCTGGGAGTTAAAAAGGTTAGTTACTGGTTTTTGTTTGTATGGCTTTCCAGGCTGGTAGAGGAAAGACAGCTGTTTCTTTGAAGAGCTGCTGAAGGTAATCCTCTAAGCTAGCATTCTCACTCCTTGTAGCTTGTTTGAAACCTGGCCTTTTATGGTGACCATTCACTTCAGTCACATTTCATACAGAAGCCAAATTATGCATGCGATACTCTACTTGTAATGCTTTTGCATAGCTTGTACAGGATGATGGGGGGGTGAGTGCTGTCGTTAACGTATAGCCAGTATTTCAAATAAAGAAAATTAACCTCATAAAAATTCATGTATCATCCTTGCCTTCTCATTACACTTCTGGTATTTTAGTAGCCTTCCTGATATCTGGAAGGCTTCCTGTGCTTCTCTCTCACCTTGGGGTTTGAAACCTCTGAGAAGTTGTAGGCGGGAGGAACAGGGCTCTTGGGTCCTCTGCATGAACTAGGTTTTTGAACTTGCTTGCCAGCATCATTATAGCTTGGTGCCCTGATGTGACGCAAATTAAATATTAGAGGTGGTGTAATGCTGGGAAAACCCTAAATTACATGTCTCTACATTTTGTGGAGAGGGTCAAGATTCTGTAACTTGTTACTGGGTTTTTTTTGAGTAAAGTTGAGGATAATGTGGTTCCTGAGGTAGGAAACGAGCTTAGTTTATCTGAACATAAATTTTTTTTTGCTGAAAACGGTTTTCAAAATATTTTTAGTATCTTTTGATGAAAAAGACTGACGTCTAGATTTTTTTTTCCACGGTTCTTACCTGTGAGCTTCAAAGAGAATATAGAGAGAAGTGGAAAACTAAACTGAAGCTTTGTAATATCTAAATGCAATTTGTCTGTTAAGTTAGTTTAAAAAAAAAAAAGCCCCCAAAATTTGACTTAAATACATAGTCTTTAAAAGATGGATATCTATACTTCTGGAGTTGGTAAACACAAGTGACAGCACTTGTAAATCACAGTTTTTTTCAGACTCTTTATTTTTCACTGCCTGTTTGCTTCTCTCTTACTAACATTGAAACTACCCACAGATCTCGCCAGGGAAGAGCTGTAGCTGAAGCCTTCTGGCTGCATCTGTGCTCCCTTCTTGAATATCGTATGTGACTCACTCTGATGTTGCCTCCTCCAGGAAATGATACAACTGGATGATATTCCCAATCTTGCAAGCCTTGTGTCCAGTTTTGATCAGCAGCAGCTTGCGAACTTCTGCAGGATCCTTGCTGTCACGATTTCTGAACTTGACACGGGAAGTGATGACAAGCACACGCTTCTTGCCAAAAATGCCCAGCAGAAAAAAAACTTGGGTCCTTCTCGAGCTGAAATTAATCAAGGTAATTGCTCCGTTGTGAACAAACGCAGGAGAATCTCAACAGTCTGTAAAGCTTCCCCCTTCTCAATGTCACATCTGTAGCATGTGTTTCTAGAGGATCCTGTAAGCATTCTGTCTTATAAAGCATTTTTCTGTATTAACTTTCCTCAAGCAGTTTCCTGGAAACAGTCTTTTTCTGTTAATGAAAGTTACTTTGTAGCTTTCGGTTTCATATGGTGTTGTAATTAGGGGAGTAAATTTCTATCTTTTCAGCCCTCTCTGATGAGCTGAGTGGCTTAAAATACTTGGGTTTGTTTTCCATCCCTCAGTCACTTTCACGGCCTTCCCTTCAGCAACTCTCAGTAATTCTGTGTCCTTCTTGAATTGCGAATTCCTGAACTAAACCTGCAAGCAGCATGGTTGCTGTCAGAGCAGTTCCTTCTCTGATTTTATCTGATGTTGTTCTGAGCAGGATGTCTTTCTTTATCAACAAGGAAAGTGTGTTTAATATTAATCACGTTGCCCACCCTTACCGCACCAGCCTTGGAAATCTGGGTCTAATGTCAACTTTAACTTTGGGCACAGTGCAGGTTTCCTTATTTTGTTGCGTGCTTCTCAGATGCCGAAGGCTTGCCTATGAATTGAAGAGATTTCATAGAATCATAGAATTGTTTAGGTCAGAAAAGACCTTTAAGATCAAGTCCAACCGTTAACCTAACCCTGCCATCCCACCACTAAACCCTGTCCCTAAGCACCTCATCTACTCTTCTTTTAAATGCCTGCAGGGATGGGGACTCGACCACCTCCCTGGGCAGCCCATTCCAGAGCCTGACAACCTTTTCAATTAAAGTACCCTCAAACGTAGGATCCGCTGTTTTCAACTCTTACTGTGCTGGAAAGCATTTGGGCTTCTGAAGCAGATGTTTGCATAGGCCCACACCGAAATATCTTGGGAAGCGCAGAAGGCGGTTTTGGTGCTGTTTCTCCCGTCTTCTAACACTTTCTGGTAGCCATGAACAATAAAGCTCCATTTGTACCCAACACCACCTCTACAACATCCGGTGAGAAACAGATAGGATAATCCAACAGGCAGAAATGGAGAGACTTGAAGGGCGGGGAGGCGGGTATTGTCTTCTGCCCTGTGGTTGCCAGAGCTTGCTTGTGAAGAGCAATGGACAAGTATGCGTAGGTGTGGGTACAAAGTTTAAACTAGTTGTACTGAATAAGCTTGGATCCCGCAGAGCTGAACTTAGCCAAGCAAATGTTTAACTCATCATTTTTTGTTTGCACAATTAGAGATCATACCTCAGACTGTAAAGCATATTCAGTTTTAAAAACTTTCAACAGGGAGCTTATTCTTTCAGAGATGGAACCAGCAGGCAGAATCTTACAACTTTTTCATATAGTGTTCGTGGCCAAATTCTTTGTCCTCTTCTACTTCATCTGCAAGTGTGTAGTGAAGTGAAGGCTTAGCCATGTATCTGAAATAAACAGGTCCTGTAATTCTGTGAAACCTTTAGGACAGAGTGCAGCTCCTAGCACCTTCCCAAATGCCCCAAGCATTTTGCAGACCAGCAAATTCTGACTTTAAACTGCTGTTTCTAAGGGTGCAGTTCCACAGCGATTAAACCCCTCTAACTAGGGGCTGCTGTCATATGTTCCCCATATGTTTTGCTCCATAATGTACTGGTTCAGGAAACTAGTACTTAAAAAACCAACAGCTTTCTGCTTAGCTACTGAAGTGAGCTAGTTGAGTGTGCTAGGAGCCAAACACTACAGGAGGTCAAATGAAGGAGGTGGCATCGCACAGAGGAAAGAGGAGACAGAGCTGCCCCTTCCAAGGGCTGCTGCTTTATTCCTGCCAGCTTAATTTTCAGCCAGATCAGTTCCTTGATATTGACTCACTGTGGACTGGAAAAAAGCAGCGCCAGCAAAAGGGAATTGGCCGGAAACAAGCAGTTAGAGTAGGGTAGAACTAATTTTTTTCCAGTGTAAGTCCAACACAAACCAGTTTAACACTGATTGAATTATGCCTAGGGTACGTGCACTCTCTTCCAGTCCTTAATAGGGGAGTGCACTGACTTCTTCCATCTTTGGATCTTTTTAACCAGATGGAATTTGTTTCTGTGTACTCTTCTATATTACTATACCATGAGGTACCAAAACACCTTGTTAGAGGATTTGATGACTGTTATGTTGGTGATCTTAAATCATAATAAAATTATTTTTCTTTTTCAGCTACGCTTTTGAATATTCCAGGCTTCATTGAGCGATTGTGCAAACTGGCAACGCGGAAGGTGTCTGAAACAACAGGTACTTCCAGCTTCCTCCAGGAGCTGGAAGAATGGTACACCTGGCTGGACAACGCGCTAGTCCTTGATGCACTGATGAGAGTGGCAAACGAAGAGGCAGAGCAGAGCAGTACAGGTATCTGGCTTGCATTCCTCTGGCCACCATTAGCTGCATGTCTTGACCTTCTTCAGTGTTTGCGATGCGTTGGTTTGCCTTTCAGACAGCACTGATTCCCTTTTCTTGCTTCAATGACTCATGTGCCAGTGTTTAGGTCTTGCTCCCATTTTGTTGTCATGTAACACTGATTTTTTTTTTTTTCCATGAGCAAAAGTTAGCAAAAAGAAATATCCTAAGGCAAACTGTGCCCTTTGCATACCTAGATAACACTGTAATGCTGTACATGCTAGACACTAATATCCCTTGGAGTGACAAGAAAGCATCTGAGGTAAGCGACTTTAACAGCATTTTGCTCTAAAACTTAGGCTGATGGCTTTAGGTCCAAATACTTCATACCAAGCAAGCAGCTCCTTCTTTAAAAAGGAAAGGTAGTTCCAGCAAAATTAAGTTAATTGGAAAAAAATAATTGTTCCAGGTGAGCATATGGAAGTGTTAATACAACCTTAGGAAAATGCTTTGAAGCAACCACCCATTTTTTTTTCTTCACCCTTCAATATTACGAAAGTGCAATGTATGTCTTGTTGAACTCAAAGTACTCCGTAACGGAATAGGAACTATCCCAAAATTTCGACATCTAAATCTTTGCTTCTATGCTTCTTTTGAAAACTTTCTTCCTTGTCCAGCTTCATTAGTTTTGTAGCAATTAATTATTAAAACTTCTGAAAATACACAAAAAATGAAGTATGTGAATGCTCCAACAGCATCTCACACGTACCTTTATCCACACCAACTTGGTGCAAACTGGAGAACGCTTGGTATTTTGAAACAGAATTCCCACGGCAATTCTGCTGAGGTGGAACATGCCCAGTTGCAGCTCTTGACCCACAATATCAGTTAGCAAGCAAACCTAGATGTACTTTCCCTGAATACCATCTCAGTCTCCAGTGGCTTGTGGCTTAGGGACTTCTGAGTCAGAGAGGGTGTCTACGCTTTATAGCCTTTGATGGTTTCCTTCCTTTGTGTGTTTGCCTCGTTACTGTTTCTTCACGTGGGTTCAAAAAGCATTCACACCGTCCTGTGGCAGGGTGGTTCATCGCTTAGTTGTGCATTGTGTACAGGGCCAGCTCCTTTCTGAACTGCAGCCTACACATTTCACTATGTCCTTATTTACTGTCTTGCATCACTCATGATTTCTGTCGTGTTTTCCGCTTGCAATCATGGCGTGTTATATCCTGTTTCTGCCCTTAGCAGTAGATAGGGCTATGAAAATTATTTAACTGTGGCCTAAGTATACTGGTACTGAGGTATGAAAGGAATGTAGACTAATAGTAAATGCTTCTGGTAATCTCACCCCTGCTTTTATTACCTTTTCTGCCATGTCCTTTCTGGTGCAGTAGTCTATTAATTCATATAGGTGATCTTACTTATTTTAGATAGATGATGCCATTTCGCTTATTATGGAAAAATTAAATACTCTCTTAAAATCTAATTTTCTCTCCTCTAAAGCTCCAGCTAGGTCTTTTCTCTTCTGTAGCATGTAATGTAAATTGGTTATTTGTTGTACATCACTACTTTTAGTTGGGAAGAAGATTCAAGCTGGTCTTACATCTGCCATGTTTCAGTGTAACAGTCATAACTGTAACAAATCCTTCCCTGCTGAAGCTGCCTCAGGCTCACATCTTTGCCATCTTTAGAGTCTTCGGATGAAAGTGGATTGGCCAACACCTCAACACGAACACAGCTTCCACAGTCCATGAAGATCATGCATGAGATTATGTATAAGCTGGAGGTGTTGTATGTTCTCTGCGTGCTGCTCATGGGGCGACAAAGGAATCAGGTGAGCACTTGTACACGGTCGTGCGTGCAGAAGCTGATGTCTCTTTAAACCTGAGTGCTCATTAATTGGGTCACGGACACAGAAACATGAAGGCCAAAGCTCAAGGCATAAAGCCGGGCAAATCCCATCATTGCAGCGACGCACAAACAAACAGGCAGTGTTTCATTGCTGAGAACCAGAGGAAGCTGTTGGGCAGGGCTTGCCACGAGTTGCACTGACCAGTGTCGGGGAGGTGGTCAGTCTGCAGAGCTGCTGCTCTGGTGCAAGGTGGATGCAGGAGGATGCCTTCTGGATGAAGCATCCAGCCTCTGTGTATGAGGTGGCGGTTGGATGTACCTGGGTGCCGCAGGAGCTGCAGCCAAGCATTCCTCCCCCTCCTGGTGCACTGGTGACCCGCTTGGACAAAGCCCCTTCAGGCCTTCCTCTTCTTTGGCTGCTTTCACTTCTGGGAGTCCTCTGGAGTGATTTGTAAATGGGTGATTTTTGCAGTAGGGTTCCCATGTCTTGGCTGAATGTGTTGTTAAATTCTCAGCTGGGAGGATACACTTCAGTGCTGTCTGCACTAGGCACTGCCTAGAAATCCCACTCTATTCCTTTCGCATTTCTTGCTTTCAAAATGAAAAATAATTTATTCCCTGCCTCACGTAGGCTTACGGAGAACCAATCACTGCAGCTTGGCTATAGTTTGATTTAGATGGGTCAAAAGCATATTGTGAAGAGGAAAGAAAAGCAATCCGTTGGTATGGTTTTGACAGGTTTCCAACACTGGCACCAGTCTGCTCAGCTCAGCAGAGCAGCAGGGGCATTCAGGTACCCTAGAGACTGGGAGGATCAAATTGTTTTGAGTTGTTGAAGGGCTGTTATATTGGGCAAGAGTATCTGTGTTGGGGAGCTGTTGCCTAAGCACATTTATTGTCAGTGTTTTGTTCTTTGCTGGCAACCTCCTGCTGTATAGAAGTCACAAATACTCACCGCAGGCAGTCTTTTAAATCTCTTAATCTGAATTTAAAATAGAAGTGCATTTTGTAGTACAGTCCTGGACATATAACCAACCTGTTCACTCTGAACCTACAAATGGATACTCAGCATTAAAAAGAAATATATTCTGTTAGAACAGTAACCAGAGGAAACTAGCAATTATTGCAGAAACCACAGTCACTGCCATAAGAAACTCATAATCCTGTTGTCGTTCCCAAGTATGGTTTCAATTGGGCATGAAATAAAATTTAAAAAAAAAAACCAGGATATAACTGGAACTACCAGAACATGGCTCTGTTAGGAGGACTTTTTCTTTTCCGTTGTATCAAGTCAGATAATTCCTCCCTGCCTGATTTCACCACAAGAATACAGTTCTATAGATAGTGTAGAAACTACTTCCAGCTTGCACTCATCCTGCTGCCGCCTGTTCAGGGAGCTGGCGGTGCTGGCTGCCTTACCTCCTTGGGGCAGTTCTAGTGTGTTACTGTCAGATGTGACAAGGTAGAGAGTATGCTCCTGAAATAGCTAGCTTTGAAGCTGATTTTTTAATTTTATTTTTTTTTAAATATCCTGGGAGAACGATTTTTATTCTTCCTCTGCTACTTCTGCCCCCCTGCAAACTGGGAAACTGTCTAAGGGTAAAGCTGGCGCGCAGTTCACTTCTTCTCCAGGGCTGATTCAGGACTAAAATTGAATTCTTGGAGGACTTGAGTTACTTCCCAAACACTTTTTGTCCAGAGCCAGCTCTTCTTGTAAAATCCACTGCCTTTGAAACACGATGTATCCCTCATTCCTTAATCCACATAGAGTTTTCAGACTTGTGTGGCAGATGCGAATCCATTCCCCTTCCCGAGAGGCAGTCAGATTAAGAACTGGAGTGGAGCAGTTCTACATGGAAAGCCCCAATAAGCAGGGGATGGCAGTGTCTGCAATAGCACTCCCGACGACAAGCATTTCAGCCGCTTGATGGTATCCCTTTTTCTGTAAGGGAATAAAAGCACAGGATCTGTGGTATTGGTCTTCCAGTCTGAGCAGCCAAAGGTTTTTATATTGGAATAATTTTGCATAGAATTTCTAAAGGGCATCACAGACCTGCTTCAGTCCACTGTGATAATCAACATAATGGTCTAGCATTTGCTTGAAGCATGATGCAGCTTCCTAACAAACTCAACCTGCTCCTGAATGTTTACTCTAAACTCTTGGTTTAAACTCGACTGATGGCTAACTTGCATAAATCAACAACCATGCTAGCAGCAAGCTGGCTCCTACCTGCTGCCATGCTGGGGATGATCACACCCTTGGGGATAAGTGGTGTTTCACTGCAGATCTGTGCCTTTGCTTCCTTTTCATGGTCACACCCTAAATTACTCAACTGACATACTTTTCTAGGCTGTCTTGCATGTCTGTATTGTGGTGAAAGGCAATCAGCTGATTTACTTGCCTCTGATATAGGGAGCCAAACTGCACACAGCAGGAGCTCATAATAGTTTTAGTAGTGAGAAAGCAATAGAGCAGTTCATGTGAAGCTGGGTAGCAAGAGGAAAAAATCAAAGGAGATTGAAGGATGAATACAGAGCAGGGATTGTCTTGGCATCCCCAGGCGGAGCCGTTGTAATGAGTTTGGGGTCTGGCAGAGAGCATGATCCAAAGGCAATGACTGTGACTCAGGAGCTCTGTCATGTGGCCGTAAGTCAGGTGAGAACTTGGAATTAAACAACTATAAGTAAACTGAGCGTGTTGGAAATTAGGGATGAGTCATTAGGAATAAGCAGATTGTGCTCTCTGTGGGAAGGAGCAGAGAACTCCTCTAGTGAGGGGCGGCTCGCACACTTGGTTTCATCTCGTTGTGCTTGTGCCACACTGGCCACCAAGGGACGGGGACTACAGGGAGCGCTTTGTTCAGAGAGATTCCTCAGAGCTGTGTTTGTTGAAGGCTTGTGACTCGAACAAAGTGCCCGGGAGCGTTTTAAAGTAAGGGAGCGCTGCTGGACTCCAATCTTTGCAGCCTGTCAGGGTAAGGTGGGGAGGAGTTGCATGCTTCCTCAGGTGTGATATTCAGAGATGCCCAGCAGTGGGAATGAGATTTCCATATAGATGGGAAAGTTGGTGGCTACAGCCAAGAGAAATACTGGCTATGCTGTGAACAAGAGTAAGGATGAAAACCTGTAAAATAGCATCGGCTTCAAATATTTTGGATTCATTAGGTGTTTGAGGATATAGACCAAATGGAGTGATCTGCTCGAAATACTGCTGGCTGTAATTGTGCATCTCGGGGACGACCTGGGTTATTGTTCAGGTAACTTGACTTTGTCCATTACTGCTTTGGGCACTTAATTTTTGCAGCATGTTGGGCTTCCCAATCATGCGTGGTTTTCATTTGCACCACATCTCAAGGGATACTGCTTGTCATAGGCCTGCAGCTGACAAGAGTCCCATTTTGTACTTCTCCTGTTCCTCAAATTGCTTCCATCAAAAGTATCAAAGCTTGGACTGAAGGTATTTAGCAGCTTCACACCAAAATTATTAGCCTTTTTACATGAGTAGCTTTATAGTCTGTTTCAAACATGTCATGATGTACCGTGTCCTAGCTTGGCAGGCAGATTGATCAATAAACCTGAGTAATCTGGCATTTTCTTCTCTTCTGAGCATTCTCTAAAGAAGTTCAACTTCCCCTTAGCTGGAAGGAGCAGCACTTGAGCTACAGCATGGTTGTGTTACTGCTGGACTCTGCTTTGCTCAGAACTCCTGCCTAGGTCACTTGAACAAAATAGATACCAATAGCTTCTGTTGTCTTCAGAGGACTGCCTCAGCTGTGTGAACTAGCGACATGCTCAGTGGATGACTGGCAGCAGAATATTTGCAACTTAGGTTTGCGATACGTAGAAGTTAGGAATAGATGTATTTGAATGCACTGTAAGTGATCTCCCGGTGTCCAAAGCTGCTTCCAGAGGTGCAGTGGTTAACTGAAGCACTGGCTAACAGCTTTCTCCCAAAATGTCTGTTTTCTATCCATTTCCACCAAATGGAAACTGCTCTAATGATACACCACGGTTGGTGTGCATGTTAACACAAATACATGCTGCTTGAGAAAAGAATTCACTCCCTCTGTTGTCAGAGGATGTTGGAATTGGTCCCATTGGTTTACCAGACTATGTTATATCCGTATTTGAGGCTGCAGAAAATGAGTATGTGCTTCTTGTTTTCCAGGTTCATAAAATGATAGCAGAGTTCAGACTGATTCCTGGCCTCAATAACTTGTTTGACAAACTGATCTGGAGAAAGCATTCGGCATCGGCCCTTGTTCTGCATGGACACAATCAAAATTGTGATTGTAGCCCAGTGAGTAACTTTTTAAATTCTGTATTGGATTTTTATCCTATCATATAATTCTGAGGAACTGTATTGAGTAACTGGGTGCTTCTGTAATTAATGAATTGAGATGTGGTAGCATTCAGGTTTTTGTGAATTACTCTTTTTGCTTAACTCTCTGTCTTTGGCATGTGTTAGCAGTTTAGCAGAGGGCAATTTACCCTCTCCCCTCTCTCCTGGTTTTAGAACTGGGAGAGGGGAAAATTCTGTGGTTCCTGGAAGCTAAAGACAGAAGTTGACCAAAACTTAAGGAAATGGTAGCTAGTGAGTGGGTCTAGCAAGGAGAGGCACAGAACACAAAGTGGATCACAGTCAGGCTTTTGGGGGCTTGGGGTTTTTCTTTTTTTTTATTTCCCCCAAACCTAGATATTCTAAATTGATCAATACAGTGATGAGCTTTTTTTTGCCTTTGCAGTGAGAAGAAATTATTAACTGTTTCAACTGTAGCTTTGAAGGCAGTCTCCATGTCTTTGCTATTTTGGGAAGCCTGCAAAGTGCAGCCTTCTCCATTTATGCCAATCACTTGCTCTGCCTTCCAAATGGTTTTGATTTGGATAAGTTTTCAATTCAGCTGTTTTCATGTCAGCTTGCTAACTAATGATATCCAAAAAATACTAAAGCAAAATTTTTTGACCTTTCTTGTCTCTTTTTAGGACATTACTTTAAAGATACAGTTCTTGAGGCTTCTTCAGAGCTTTAGTGATCACCATGAGTGAGTATGAAAAGCTGTGGTAGATTGTGGCTCGGCAGTATTGTTTGCCTGGTTGCAGTTACAGCGGGTGTCCTAGGCACGGTGCAGGCTCCGTGTGAATGGAATGTTGTACTGTCCTTAAACTCGATTCAGGTGTTCATGTGCCTCTCAGCTCCTCCTGTGAAAAGGCTAAGGATATGCTCTCCAAAGGGCATCTCTTAGTATGTCTGATGATTAAAAATAACCCGTTTTGCTTTGTGTTGAAATGAACTGAAACATTTATGTGATGAGTTAACGCTTTCTGGCTGAAGAAATAAGGAGGCAGCTTTCATAGTCTTGTTTATCTGTCTTCTCCCTGAGAGTTGATAGTGAGCCAGCATGCTCACCAGAGCACATGTACGCTGCGGGGACATGCTCAGGTTTAACTCTATTGTAAATCCTCCATGCAAGACATTGTTTGTCCAGGAATCACTGCAGGTTTTCCAATAAATTCTCTTTAGAAGATGTTCCTACTTAAGTGGTTACTACAAAGATCTTGGGCTGCTTTAAGCAGAAAACAGCTTTCAGCTGCAGCATTTCAGCAAGTGGAATGTGTGGAATCTGGTCAGGGTTTTTAAATAAATAGTTCCATGAACTTTCTATGAAATGACAGGTACGCTGAGTTAGCTGAGGACAGGATGAGAACAACTACTTGTATACTAATTTCAGTTAAACTGTGCATAAACCAGACTTGGAGAACTGTTTGCTGCATGGGGAGAGAGGCTGTATTTTCATTGCAGAAACCTGTTGATCCAGGTCAAAAGGAGCTTCACATGACTGCCTCAGCAGGCACTAATCTGGAAGATAGTGTTTGAAGCGAGGCGGCATCCCCACCACCTTTCTGGTCTAATAATTTAAACTCTGTGTAGTGGCTGTGTTTGGATGAATAGGTTCTTTGCACACCCTCACACTCACCACACCATCCTATGCTCCCTTAGGCTTCCTGTAAATAAATCTTTGCAGTCTGATCTTGAGCACTTTGAAGTAGGAGGGCTGTAAGGGAGCATGCTGACCTTGGGCAGGGAGTCCGTCAGAGAGCCTCTGGACTATATTTCTGCTTTGTCAGACTTGTTCTGCATTTAATTTATTTTACATATAAATTGGGTTTCATTATGAAAAGTTCAGTATTTGAACAAAGCATTTGATGCAAAGTCTGTGGGTTTATATCCATTCCTGTTTTGCTTTCTACATTTTATGAAGTTTTTAAATATTTCCAGACTAAACAGTTTGCTCAGAGCAATCAAATACCAGGATGATTGAGTACTTTCTTGCAGTTTCTGCTTTCTAATTGAGGTTTATTACTGATAAGGAGCATAGTCACTATATGGCAGAGAAAGACTGTAAGAAGCTGTGGAAAAGTTTGCTATTTAAGTGGTGAAATTCAGCAGAATGTTGCTGAGATTTTCAAAAGCGAGTGCCATCTGGAAGCAAATATTCACAAAACAAACCTGATCCTGAACAAAGAACCACAAAGAACCAGCATCTCAAAGCTGGTCAGTGTTGAAACTTGCATTTGGCAAATTTTGGAGGAGGCTTATGAAAGAGCAGCTAGTTGGCCTAATGTGGGCGTGTGCTGTGGCAGAGGGGAGTAGAGTGTGAATGGTTACGAAGAGCTGGAGAGGTGAACGCTGATCTCCTAGTCCTGTGGCCCTCGTAGGCTTGTGGCTTTACTCTTCATGGAATTGCATGTTTGCCTGTCTCAAATTCATCACATTATTCTCCCCTACTCCCCAACTTTCTTGCTTTAGGAACAAGTATCTCCTTTTAAACAGCCAAGAACTTAATGAGCTGAGTGCAATCTCCCATAAAGCCAACATCCCTGAAGTTGATGCAGTTGTCAACACAGACAGGTGAGTAGGCATAGAAGGTTCAGGTCAGCAGCTTCTAGTGTTTTGCAAGCACTTACATTGGAGGTTTGATGTTGCCCATTTCGTTTGAGGCCCTTCTGTCCACCTCACTTGCTTTATTAAAAACAAAAGCAACCCAAAATGGGGGGTTTGAGTTCATGGCCCAGACTTTGTTATGGTGTTCTTGGTCTGCCTGTTTGGCTGGGCATTCTCACTACAGGCGTTGCAGACAGACCTGGAAATTAAACCTCTAATGCATGGATTGCTGTTACTAATAAATCTTAGTTTTGAGACTCAGGAGCAGTCTGTGCACACATAATGTCCATTTGCAGCCCGCATAAACAGATCTAAGTGCGTCTACTCAAGAGTCTTTCTTCTAAGAGCAGCTAATAGCTACAATAAGCTAAATTAGATTAACATGTTAAACCACTTACAGAATCTCTAGTCTTGTATTTGAGTATGTCAGATTGACTATTTTTAATTAATAAGCTCTTTAATACATGATTCTGGTGTACAAACCTCACAAGGTGAAATATTGTTTGTAGAATTTAGTTGTCAGAATTCTGTAAGAGAGAGAGAATTTCTAGATTGTAACTGTTATCATAATACTGTGTCTAACTGGGAAGAAATGGTGTCTGTATTATTTCCTTCTAAGCACAGGTACCTCTCTGGCTTTGTTCAAAAAGGTGTAAGTATTTAGGGGAAAAAGAATTCACCCTGTTAGGAGCACACTGAGAGGAAGTGGAGCAGGGGTGTAAACAGCTTTTTCCAACCTGCAAAGTTTCTCATTTCTCTCGAGCATTAGTAAGAACAGACTGTCGTGCTGCAAGAAAACCACTTCCCACAAGGGCTTTGTCAGCCAGCTACTGACTGCCCAGCAAAGGTGCTGGTACGGTACGTAGCCAGTGACCTGGATGCATCTGCTGAAAATGCATGCTGGGGTTTTTTGGGTTGTGGGTCTTTCTGGGTTGTTTTGAGTAGAAGAGTGCCACTTGAAACACTGTATTCTACCTCTGCAGGGTGGTTTGTATAGCCAGACAGGCAGCATTGCTCAGTTTCTGGCCTAAAATTGGTTTCTTTTCCACCCTTAGCATTTCATGTTCATGTTGCTTTTCTTGATACATGAGGAGATCCAGGCATTTCTTCTGCACGAGCTTACCATAGGCAGATACCCCACAAAAGGTGCTATTTAATACAAGTAGTATTGCAGTTCTACAGCCTCTATGCTTTTACTAGTACATACAGAATGTAGCATCTAGGTTTCCATACTATGCTCTGCCTCCTAAACAGAACTTAGAGCTTCCTTTACATTTGTTGAGCAAAAAAGGTGTGGGTTTCTTTTATTCCTAAGATCAAATGTGGTTTATATGTTGTTGTTGTTTTTTTCTAATCTCCTATTTCTTACAAGCTGTGAATTGGTATTTCTGAAATCATGAAAATTTTGAGAGAAAATGAATGATTTTTCTTTAGGATTTGTTTGGAAGTCTTGTTGCAGGTATTGCGGAAGTTTACCAAAGACAGCGAGGAGAACTCTTCTACTGGTAAAATTAGTAGTGCAAGTTAGTTAATAATTGTACTGTATATTTAATACTGGGATTTTGATCATTAAAAGCTCTGGAGAAGAGACAGGAATCGGTGTTCTACTGGGTGCGGTGCTTGCCAGCCCTTCTGTTCATGCTGTCATTTCTTCACATGCTCTAGGAGTCTTGTCTGTGATGGGAAGAGAGGCTTGTTGACCAGGCTGCTTCAGGTCATGAAGAAGGAACCAGCCGAATCCTCCTTCAGGTGGGTTCACTTTGCACTGTAACATGCTGGTTTGAGTTGACTGGGAAGTTGGGGGGGGGCAGGTATATAGCTTACCGCTGTTGAAAATGTTTGAAAACCATAAGCTGTGACAAGATCTGGATTTGTTGCACTTGGCTATGATGGCAGTGCAGGTGAGGGAGAACGCCGAAGCTTGCACTGAACTCATGCCCAGTACAGTCAGTGATTTTCTTCGAGATGAACAGGTCTAAATGCAGCTTCAGATAGGAATGAAACTGAGTAGGAATTTTGATTTAAATTATAGTTGTGATAAAATACTCCCCTTGCTCCAAAATTAAAACCTCATTTCTTCTATTTCTCAGGTTTTGGCAAGCAAGGGCAGTTGAAAGTTTTCTGCGAGGCACCACCTCCTATGCAGACCAGATGTTCCTGCTAAAGAGAGGACTCCTGGAGGTAATGAAGTATATGTCAAGCTCCCTCTGTAATGTATCTTCATAGCAGGATTTATCTGTAATGAATTAAAAAAAAAAAAATAGTAGTGTTAAATATTCACTGGGAATAGGGAAATTTTTGAAAATTATTAGCAAATTCTGCTTGTGGGAACCAGGTGTGGGGTGGCTGGTTCGTTAGCCTGCATCACTGGGAAGTTAATTGTGCAGAAGACTCATCTGAATTGCTGTCTTTGGTTCTGTCATCTGAGAACTAAATCTGCAGAGAAAAGGTTTAAATAGTATTAAATGGGAGTCTGTGCTGTACTGCTGGCTTGGGCTGAACTGTGGCAGTAACATGTTTTCCTCCTGTGCCAGCATATTCTCTACTGCATTGTTGATAGTGAGTGCAAATCACGGGATGTGCTTCAGAGTTACTTTGACCTTCTGGGAGAACTGATGAAATTCAATATTGATGCATTCAAGAGGTTCAACAAGTACATCAACACAGATGAGAAGGTAAATATTTGTAAAAGCCCTCCCCAGCGGGTCAAATTACATGCTCTCAGAACCAAACCTAGCACTAAGAAACTCAGGTTCATTTGCTGATTTTGATGGGATTGCTGAGGGTGGTGCACAGTAAACACAGAGTAGTGAGCTGCCCGGGTCTCTTTGCAAGCATGTGTGTTGCTGCATGCACTGGTGTTTTCCGAAGTGCTCCCAGCTGTTCTGAATCAGCAAGCACTGAGCCATGCAGAAAACATTGCCCTGTTACGTGATCAGGCAGGTCCAAGGTCAGGGCTCAAAGATGGTAGAACATTTCCTGTGAAATCGCTGTGTTTTGGGTTAAGCTGATGATTGTGGACATGGAGACAGGCTCCAAAAAGTCTTTTACTGGAGCTTGGGGGGGGTGGGGAGAGGGCGGTCCTTGATGGAGGTAACTTAAAATGTCATTGATATTTGATACTGCAAAAAGACATATCTTCTCCTAGAATCATAGAATCTCAGGTTGGAAGGGACCTCAGGGATCATCTGGTCCAACTTTTCTGGGCAAGAGCCCGGTCTAGACAAGGTGGCCCAGCACCCTGTCCAGCTGAGGCTTGGAAGTGTCCAGTGTAGTGGAGTCAGCCCCTCCCTGGGGAGATTATTCCAATGGGTTTCTGTTCCCCTGGGGAAAAATTGGAATATTCCCAAGAGCAACGTGTGTCCATTCCCCCTTGTCCTCTCCATGGGACTCCTTGTGACAAGGGAGTCTCCATGTTCCTTGTAGCTCCCCCTTAGGTACTGGTACGTGGTGATGAGATCCCCTTGGAGCCTCCTTTGCTCCAGGCTGAACAAACGCAGCTCTCTAGGCCCACCCTCATATGGCTGAGAGAGGCTTACCAGGCCTTTGCATGTCTTTGATGTTACTTGAACTTACAGGCATTTTAAGAAGTCATGGCTGATGTAATTATCTATAAAACTTAGTTGCATATGTAGATCGCGAATGGGCAGCTCTCTATGCAAAGTGGTTTCATGTTCTCATGCACTTTGGGCAAGTAACACCAGCTGTTGGGTCGGTTTGAATGACCTCATACTTTTGCTTATGTTACTGTAATTTTTCTCTGGTTGCTGTTAGGTCTGGCAGACCTTGGACAATAGAAGCAGAGACGTATTTAAAAGAAAGATCTATTTAATTTCAGGTTTTCTGGTGAATGAACTCACACATTCTAGAGACTCTGTCTTTATACTTTGTATGTGCTTCCTATTTATTGATCTAAACACTTTTTAATTCTCATTCTGTATGAATCCCTCACTGTGTTCCTCCCTGTCAATGTCTGCTGTACAAAATAAAGTGTAGGAAAACATGGAGCTGGAGGAACTACAGAGACCAGTGGCCATGCTGTCTCGTCTCCCTCTTCCAAAACAAATAGTGCATGAAAGCTTGGTCTCATTGAAGTGACATAGCTTCAAAAGAGATTTTGATGGTGCAAGGACTTGGGCGTTTTTCTGTTTCATGGTGGTTTTAAAGGAACTTGCTGTGGGGATCTTTGGTCAGCACTCAGTGCCAGTATTGGCTTGGACTGGATGAGGCAGGCCTGGGAGTGTGTGTCTCCTCTTATTGTCATTAGAGATAACAAAAAGGTAATGACCCTGAGTATTTTGGCATTCAGAACCTGACTCTTGTTTCTGAAGGGAAGGGGAAATTGTCCACATCTGTGAAGCCTTATGTTGGTTAAGTGCTTGTTTTAGGTGCTTGTGCTCGGAATTCGAGGCGGTTTCTCCAATAAGCTTCAAGAACTGTACTCTTTCAATGCTGAAGATACGGAGAATGGTCACTGTTGCCCTACTTGCCAAACCCTGTTTGTAGCTCTTCCTGCTTGGGTTCACTGACCTGATCCCCTTGGGCCAACAGAATAATTGGCTTAGTGCAGCTCTTGGCTGTGCACATTCTGAAAAGAGTATGAAGTGCTCTTCTGTCAGAGAGAGTTCGTGTAGGATGAATTTCTGTTTGGTTGGGTTTTAATGCAACACTAAAGAGTATTCCTCTTCAGTTCCAGATATTTTTAAATCAGATCAACAGTTCATTGGTGGACTCAAACATGCTTGTTCGCTGCATTACGCTGTCCCTGGACCGATTTGAGAATCAGTCTGATGCTAAAGGTAAAGAATAAGAAATGGAAGGATGGGGGGAGTTTGATAGTGATAATGGTTATTGTAAGTCTGGGCTTTGAAAATTTTGGTTTTAGACAGAGAAATACCACCTTGCAGGTTTGCTGCTATGCTCTGAGCACCAGTTCTTATGGCCGTATTGCTTGGACCAGTGTGTTTGAACTTGAAGCACCTGACGATTGTCTTTTTCCTCTTGCTGCAGTTGCAGAAGTCCTGTCAGAGTGCCGCCTGTTATCATACATGTCCCAGATGTCCATGAGAATGTCCTTTCTTTTCCGTCTCATTAATATTATTCATGTACAGACACTTACACAGGTAAATAGCTGATGGTAACTTTGCAGTTATCTTGCTGTGATATTGTGTAGTGATGAACTGGGCTGGGAGCAGGGAGGAACCTGGCTTCTCTGGAGGAGACCCTTGTCCCTCCTTTCTTGGTATGTCTAGGAGCACATCCTCTGCATGCTTACCACAAGCACGTTTTGTAAGGACGTGTGTACAACCCATGTCTCTGGTTTTTTTGTTGTTTTATCACCCACTGTGTCATTTTTAATTTTAGGAAAATGTCAGTTGTTTGAACACAAGTTTAGTGATCCTAATGCTGGCCCGAAGGAAAGAAAAGCTACCTTTTTATCTGCGCACTTTGCAACAGATGGAATATACAGAAAAGTACCCTGGCTTCATCCTGAACAACTTCCACAGTCTCCTGCGATTCTGGCAACAGCATTACCTCAACAAGGATAAAGACAGCACCTGCTTAGAAAATGTATGTGAACCTCTTGCATAGCAAGAATCAGTCATAGCAATATCTGTCTACTAGCCACCTCGCAAAAATGGGAACTGGGAGGTTATGAAGGGAAAGAAGGGAGCAAGTTCCGTCCCCCAGTGTAACTTTCTGCAGTGCTTTTCGCCCAGTCTGCCCCAGTCAGGTCCCTTCTGCAGGCAGGCTACCTCGAGGTAAGTGCTGGGTTTCCCTGCAAACAAAAGCCTCTCGGCTGTGGCACACAGAAGTGAGGCTTGCCAGTGCTGAGTGCGTTTGAGAGGCGAGGGCTGGCGAGATGGCCAGCCCTGTGCAGGGATGTGGAGGCAGGACAGAATCTAGCTCCCAGACTGGTTAGTGTCTTAACCAGTGTCCCCTCTCCTCCTGGTGTGGCAAACAGTGCAGGGAAAGTGTCTGGTGTAGGTGCTAGAAGACAAGGCAGCTGCCCTGTGGAAAGCAGCCTGCAAGTTTCCACTGCAGAGCTGGTGTGTCTTGGGCACTGAGAAGAAGAAATGACCTGAGGTGAGAAGGTGACTCCCTTGGGTATGCCCTAGAAGGCTAAAGCGAGGTTGCATGATTTTCTTCCTGGACTTTTCAGTGCTCGGGTGGCAGCTTTAACAGATTTTAATGTGTTTGTGGAAAAGCCCTCCTTCTCTGGTGTACACGTACACTGCAGCACACGGCCCCACGGCTGCAGCCTGAGTGCAGTGCAGACAGTCTCCTGCAGACAAGGTACCTGAAGAGGGGCGATACCGGGGCTTGGAAGCAGTTAAATAAGGAGCTTCAGTTCCCCAGAACGGGGGAGTGGGAAGGAGAAGCTGCAGGGAATGGTGCAGACCTGTAATGCTTTTCTCTCAGCGTGGCTCGGCGCAGTACGCTTGGGTCGGTGCTGGGGAGCGGCAGGGTGGCTCGGGGCCCGCAACACCCGGGCGCTGCGTCGCAGGGCTCGTGCTGTGGTTCGACGCGTCGGCGCTGCGCTGGGCTGCGGAGGGGAGGGGCTGCCGACACCAAACCTCTCTGCCGTTGCCGCATTTCAGGGTCGCGTTGTGCTGTGTGGGGGCTCTACGGTACTTGCTGTGTCTGGAGCCACTGGTGGGGTAGAAATTGTGGGCTGTCCAGCGTGTAAAGGCTTTGGGAAACAGGCAATGCGGTGTAGGGCTGCCAGAGAGGCCTTTTGGCTGTAAGAGAATGATGGGGGAGGGGTGTGAGCAGGGAGTTTGTGTTGTCCTCGTGCCTTCCCGAGGAGTGGGAGCTGCTGCCAGCATTGGCTTGACGTGCAGCACTGTGGTGTCCCAGCTTGTGTTTGGACTGGACAGCAAAGGAGAAGCTTGGGCTTCTGTGTGGGGGTGCTGCTCGTGGGCCCCCCTGCCCATGTGGGCTTGCTGGGGTGGTGGTTGCCCTGTGCTGCTCTTAGCAGGGCTGTAGCTGCCACAGGTGCTGGGAGCCCCTGCCTGTAGCTGGACAGCGGGAGGCCGGTTGTAGAGGATGCGGTTGGTTCAGCATCCCCCCCTTCTGCTCCACACCCCGCAGAGGGTGGGCTGAACGGTGACTCAGGGGTGCCGGCCTGCGTGGCTGGGGAAGTCAGGCTGAATAGGAAGAGATTTTCAGTTCCCTCTGCTGAATGCCTTTGGGACATGTCTTCTGCTGCGCGTGGGTGCCTGCAGACCACGCTAACCAGCCTCTTCATCTCTTCCCGCAGAGCTCATGTATTAGTTTTACCTACTGGAAAGAGACTGTATCTATACTGCTCAGTCCAGACCGGACATCCCCCTGTGCCATAGTTAGCTACATCGACGAGGCGTATATGGACATTGACAGAGACTTTTCTGAGGAGTAATTCTTCACTCTGGCTTCAGATGGACAGCGTGTGGAGGGTACCTCGCAGCCCGTGGATTTTCAGGGATACGCTGTGTAGTGTGTGTGTGCGTGTGCGGCTTGGAACCGTGGAGCGTTACTGCATTGTCAAAACCCCAGCCCCCTCCTGGTCCCCGTTTCTGATCTCTGACGGATGAGACTCCGAAAGCTCTCTGGGCAACACATTCAGGGATGTATCTTCCAGTTGTTCTGGGATAAAAATAATCACCTACAAAAACCAGCCTCTATTTTTTATTTTTTTGCTCTCCCAGTCCAGCACGGCTGGTCAGAGATTTTTTTGCTGACAGATGAGGATACTCTGTATGTGCCAATTTAGTTGTGGCGCTCTCATGGCAAGTCAAAAAGCACACAAATTGCCCTCCAAATGTGAGGTCCAAGGAGCCGGTCTGACTGGGACCCCGACGCACCAGCCGCGTGCAGAGCCACCGCCAGGACTCCCTCCAGGGGTAACGCTTCCGCTGGGGTTTGGAATCGGGGCATAAGGGGTGGTCAGAGTGTGAGTGCGCGTGTGTGTGCTTCTAATTCCTGAGAGCCCTAGCTCCAGTCACCTCTTTACCATTTACTTTTGGATCATTTGGTACTAAATCTGTCTGTTTGTGTGTTAGGAGAGAACCTCTGCTCCTGCTGTCTTTCCTGCAGATCCCATCTGAAGGAGTTTTACAATGCTGTGGAGAAAAGAGACGTTTCGGCAGTGGTGGAATTGCAACAGGGGTTGGCTTTTTCATGGAGCACTAGCATTAAAATGTACTAATTTTTTAAACTTGCGGCTTGTCCCTTCTTGGGTAACTAATCTGGTTTTAAAATCCTTTCCAGGACCATTGCTCTTGGCGCTAACCTGCTATGCCTGGAAGTCTTATGTCAGTCTCTGCTTTTGGGCCTTAATAGCAACACACACGTTAATCTTGAAGTGCAATATTGACTGGAGCGGTCAGGTGTTCCTGGATCTGTTTTAATCAGAATGTGTTAAATGCTAGGAATAAACACTCCTGGTTGAAGGTAACTTTGTAGGATACGTTGGGAAAGGTGGAGTGGGGTTTTGGCAGTCCCGATTGCCAAGACATGCCCTGCCTTCTCGCCAACGTTAATTGTGTTGCTCCAAGACAGTCAGGTTCCCAGGAATGAAATGCAGTCTGAAGTCCTGAGCCACTGCATTTCAGTCAAAAAATACACATCCTGCAGCTCCAGCTAAAAGAAACCAGTTTTCTTTGAAACACGCATCTGAATTTTTTTTAATTTTCTTAACTTATTTGATGAGATGACTTGACTTCAGCTCTGTCCAGGCTCTGGAGAGGGGCTGGGCACCATTTCGTCTCTAATCTTTGCCAGCAGAACGAAACCCACTCTGAGGGATCCCTGTGCTGGGGCCTGGATGAGGGGATGAGGCTCCCAGCCCCAGGTGCAGGACTTGCTCTCTACACGTCATTCTCCTCTACATGTCACCCTTCTCCTCTCGCTTGTCTCCCACTTGGGTGTCCTGCCATGGACTTACAGTCAGCGCTTTGCTTGCAGAGCAGTCAGAGCTGCTGAGCCTGGAGCCTTGCAGGAGCTCCCGGGGATCCCCGTGCCGCTCCCTGGGGGGCTGAATCCCCTGGGCAGCCTCTGCCCCGCTCCAGTGTGGCTACCCTGGTTGCACCCCTTGCATTGGGGAGCTCCTTGCTACAGCACCTGCATCTCTGCTCTTCATCACCTTGCCCCTGCCCTGCCCCCTCCCTCCCCTGAGCCAAGTTCTTTCTCATCTGTACTTTTTTGTTCTTGGGTATTTGTGGTTTTGGTGTATCTTTGCTTCTTCTTAACTGTAATAGATGTACACATCAAATAAATGCTTCAAATTAAAAGGCTTTTAAGTTAAGGGATGCCTTTTCCATAGTCCAGTTAATTGGTGCATCTAATGATTGCTGCTATAACCCCGCAGTCTCATTCCCATCTCTCTGGCTGCAGCGTACAGCTCAGGGCCTGGCTGGGCAGAGGCGAGCCCTGCCTGCCTTCTGGCCCCTGGGTCCCTCCTCCCTGAAACTTGGGGCTCCCCACTTGCTGCAGGCAGCCTGGCTTGGCTCTTGCCTCGGGCTGCTGCAGGAGGCTGAGGGAAGGGCACAGGGAAGAACCCACAGCAGCTCCTCCAGCAAGGGAGCGTGCGGGCTCCGGGAAAAGGCTCTGCCTGCGGCGGGCAGGGGGACGAGCACGCAGGGCGGGCCACAGGCAAATTTTAGCCAGGGGCCACATTCCTGCGGGCTCATCTGCCTGGGCCAGGTGACTTGAGAATCTCATTTTGAGAGGGACCAGACAGCTGTTCTTCATCCTTGTTTTGTCTTATTTATGGGGAGGGAGTGTCCTGCGTGTTGGGGAGCACCCGCTGGCTTCAGCGGAGGTGGGACCCCTCTCGCTAACAAATACTGCTGGAAGCCTGCGCTGTCCCCGTGGATTGCTGAGGTTCGTGCTGCCCAGATTAATGCCAATTTACTAACTGCAAATAAACATATTAAATGGAAACTATTAAAGAAATCTATTTTAAAGAAATGAGTGGATGTGTCTTTCTTTGCAGTCCCTTTGCCAAAGCCCTGACAACCCTCCCTCTCCCCGCCAGGACTGTAGTTGGGATTTTTTTATGTTTTCCCCAGGAGCGATGGTTTTGGTGAGGTCTGTTCTGCCCTCCCCCCTGCCTCCCCACTCGGCTCTGCTCCCCTGCAGCTGAGCAGGGCTGAGGAGTTTTGGTGGGAAGGGATGAGGAAAGGGCTCTTGTGAGCCAGGGCAATGGAGCAGGGAGAGGGGGGGCCTGTGCCTGTCCTCTCCCCACCCCTGCCAGGCTGTGAATGATGTCCCCAAAGACCCCAGCTTGCCCCCCACATCGCCAGCAGCAGAGCCCAAGGCCCTGGTTACCCCACAACAGACACGGGAGCGAGTCCTGGCAGATCTACGTTTATTCATGTGGTGCGAAGCCG